ATAGTTAGAATTATACCGACACTCTTATAAGTTCATCCACGGTCTCAAAGTTGCGGAGTGTAGTTTTTGTTGGCAAAGGATACGCAACTTTTAATCTCAGATTCACAGTCCGAACATGCTAATCACTACACCAAGTCTCGACCACCAACCAGATTCACAGTCCGAACATGCTAATCACTATACCAAGTCTCGACCACCAACCAGATTCACAGTCCGAACATGCTAATCACTATACCAAGTCTCGACCACCAACCAGATTCACAGTCCGAACATGCTAATCACTACACCAAGTCTCGACCACCAACAAGGGAAATCATACTTACATCACATTTAAACACGTCGTCATTGTGCAACAATGTTGTCAAATAACTTGCTTCCGTTCCATCTTTCTCTGGATCCGTGTTAGTAACAACCTAAATATTAAGCAGTATCTAAAGTTGTACACATTTTGAGAAAACTTTGAACAAATTGTAAGATAATCGCAGAATAAAATATACTGATTCCCGCTATTAGTTTCTTCCTTATTTAATCCAGTTTATGCAATCTATATATGTACACTAAAATTTACAAAAGGCTATTTTGTTCATCTACCATTTAAAAATGTTTCCTACACACTAGGTGAGTTAGAAATAATTTTAAGTAACCCAATTCATGCTTAACGCTACATCAAATGCACTAACTACCACTTATTTTTATTTTTTAAGTATTTTGAGACTAGCTATAAACATGGAAATATAAGTTATGCATTTGATGTCTATTACATGCATAAAGAATCATAGAAAAACTTAGTTAAAAGTTTTGATTTACTTGAGTAACATGTAGGTTTTGAAGTAATGAGATCTTTTATTCAATAAAACCCCTTTTTTTAAATTCCTGCTCTTATAATTTGTAAAAGGATGAATTATATCATTTTATATTTAAATTCATTAGAAATCAGGCCTCTTTTTAAATTTGATTTATCTCAATTAGAATTATATTTCTTGTTGATTTAATAGAGTTAGTGTTATATATTTTATTTAATTAATAGTTCAGTGTTATAATTCATATTGACTCAGTTGGCTTAGGGTTAGATTTATTGTTGTTTAACAGTTAACATTTCTTATTATTCACCTGGTTTATATATGTTTGGTTGATTCAGCTAAGTTAGTATTATATTTCTTGTCGACTCAGCCACTTTAACTTTATATTATAGTATATATTTTTTCACTTATTGTCAGATGTTAACTAATTAACCCATGGTTTAATAATACGATTGACTTAACTACATATGTAATTCAAGAAATAAAACGAAACCTGCATCGATGAAACAATAAGTTTTTCTTTGACAAAATATGGTAATAAAATAACGAAATAAACGAAGATATGACTAGATCTAATGTAAGACTAAAATAAGACCAGCGGCAAATTGTACTTATTAGTATTGGCTGATATAGTATTATATTTCGTGTTGATTTGGCTGACTTAGTATTACATTTTGCGCTGATTTGGTGTTAAGTTCATTGTTGGTTTAGTGTTTAATTCATACTGATTCATCTGTTTTTGTCTTCTTGATTCTGCTGGTTCAGGGTTACATTTTTTGTTAATTCAACTGGTTTGGTGTTATACTTTCCTTGTTGATTCGGGTGATTTAATATTCGGGCTTCACTGCTAAACAAAGTTAACATCAAGGGTGACTTTCTCAAAAGTTAGAGTTAAGCAGGTTGGCGAGGTTAAAGTTTGAAAAGCGTGAGCTTCACAGTTAAACAAAGTTAACATCAAGGGTGACTTTCTCAAAAGCTAGAGTTAAGCAGGTTGGCGAGGTTAAAGTTTGAAAAGCGTGAGCTTCACAGTTAAACAAGGTTAATATCAATAGAGTGCAGTTCTCCGAAATTTGTACGTACGCCATCAATAATATTGTTTTATATCTTCTTTTAAATAAATTTCTTATATATCTTTAATCAATACCTCACTCTGAACACGTAGTGAAGACATATCTACTAAGTCTGATATGGCTTTAAACTGGCGAACAGATGCTTGAATAGTCGTTTCATCGTAGGATCGTCCAGCTTCAGAGGATGGACTGCAAAAACAGTAATTGAAAAAATAAATCAAACTACCGGCGTTTCTTAGAGCAGGAATATAACTTTTCCTACATTTGATTTTCTTAATTAGTATTTTATTGATTACACGAATATCACAGACTAATTATGTTTCTGGAGTTTCTTATTTGTGTTTTGTCTCATCTACTACATTCTTTCAGATTTTTTTCTCAAGACATTATGAATATAAACACAAAATTATATTATTATCAACAAACACTACGAACGATTTCAGTCAACACACAAGCTACAATTTCCATTCAATTCTGATCACAGTAGTTTTTATTGGTTCGAGTAAACATTAAACTAACCGACAGGTAGTTCTTTCCATAGTTTCGAGGTTTAAAAACTGACGGTCTGATCTGCTATCTTCTGATATGGAGTAGCCATCAGCAGGAAAACACTGTTTTTCTTGAACTGCAGACTGGCTAGTGTTGCTATATAAAGCACCAGTCTGGTAACATGGTTCTGGGTGATTGTCTATCTTGTTAGTTTTACCTTCGGCACTTCCTTCCTTTGATAGAGGATTATCCTTCTTAACCGCAATGACGTAGGCTGAGATAGGAGGAGGAGGTGGGGGTAGAAGAGGAGGGAACGTTTCGTCATAGGTTCTACGGCTCTCCTCGTGTGGTGCTATCGTCTCGTCGTGTTTTATTTCGGAGCTTGCCACTGCCTGGTAATTTTCAACACAATTTTCCCATTTAATAAAATAGGATTTAACATAGTAAGTATAAATCTACAGTAATTAACACATAACTCATGACATATATTGTATTAGATAAAAAAAAAACTCGGAGATAAACAGCAGTAAAAATATTTTAAAAACTGTCTCTCGTTAGATCGCCGAATGAAAGGAAGTATTTATGTGATTTCTTATGTCTTTATATGAATTTAACTAAAATGGTAACAATGGAACAAAACAATTTATTTCATGCTTTTTTTACTCATGCTTACTAGTTGTATTTTAATTATACACTTTTAAAAAGTTGAAACACAAACGTATTGATCTGAATAAAGACTATTAAATAAAAATATGAATTGTTTTTATTTACAATTACATGTAGGGAAAGCAAATTTCATGTCCTAAAATAACCTTTCATTAATCACAAATGTACGGGTACTCCAGCTAGTTTTACAATAGATTTTGCCCACATCTATTACGAAACCTAAGCAAAGATTTTACTTTAACAAGTTTGTTTGTTTTGAATTTTGCGCAAAGCTAGACGAGGGCTATCTGCGCTAACCGTCCTTAATTTAGCAGTAAAAGACTAGAGGAAAGGCAGATAGTCATCGCCTCCCACCACCAAATAGTAGGATTGAACGTCACATTATAACGCCCCACGGCTGAAAGGGCGAGCACATTTGGTGAAACGGGGATTCGAACCCGCGACCCTGAGATTGCGAGTCAAGCGCCCTAACCACCTGGCCATGCCGGACAGTTTTAACACTAAAACATTATTTTGTTATTTGAGTTGCACCCACAGCTAGCATCAAAACCAGGGGTATAATGTTATGAGTCTTCAGGCTTACTTTTGAGGCACAGGAGGGGGTTGGGGGCAACATTAAGCTTTAAATGTTCAAATAAAATGTTTGACTTAATAAAACTGTAAAAGTTAGTAAACTTGCCGGTTCATTCTCGCCTTTATCCTTCCTTATATTCTTATAATTTGAGTTACCAGCCATTTTCGTCTTGCAAGTTTCACTGGCAGATTTGATGTAGGTCCGAGTTGTTTGACTCTGGTCAGTTTCTAAACTGTAGTTACATTCCTCATCTCTGCGGTTACGCTGCTGTAATATAGGTTAACATATCCAGAATTAATCACATTAAAAACTATTACTGGAAACGATAGTAACAATTGAAAGAAAAATATCAAATGTTTTAATTTAAAGTTCACGAAATATTGTATTCTTTATTCGATAGTGAAGTGTACACAGTTACTTAAATTCGGAAGTGAGCTGCAGAGAGATCGGGTTGGATTTATTTGTTGCATAGAAAAGCCGTTAAGAATTAGATTATTTTAGGAAAAACAACTATTTACTATTATATATATACATTACAAGTATCGATATGCTGTTACTAGTGTACTGACTTTATTTCTACTTGTATTTGAATCTTGTATATTCTTCGAAAACTCAAGCCTATTTACTACAAAATAAAGTAAACATTTATGCTCTAAAGATCATGTACTTTGCTTCTTTTAAATAGGAGTCCAAACACAGCCAATAATAACCGCCTTTGAGAAATAACGAGCACTGTAATAAGGATGACAGTTAACAAGAAGACCAATACAAATAATATATTTCAAAACGTTACAGATAATAGTCCGTCCAGTGTCTAATGTATTGTGTTTTTTAATGATATTTAAGGTTCAAATTTGCTCGTTTAGTTTCAATGCAGGATTACTTAAACGTCTTAGTTATATATATACAAATGCTATTTCTTATTAATAGAATATTTAGGTTTTATGCATTTTAAAAATGTCTGATTGTTAACGTTATAAGTTGTCAGACTTAACGCCGAGCCACTGGGCCATTTAATAATAAATATTTACTTCGTTTAGCTCAACTGTTCATCATCAGGATTTCGCCACGTTGAAACTATTATGCTGGACGTTAACTTTGCTGGCTTACCTTAGAGACAATCCCATCACGAGGAGAAAGTTTTTCTTCCAAATTGACAAGTAGCCTTCTCTCGTTAGATCTTCGATACTGTGGAGTGAAAGGACGAATCAACTCACATTAACAGCCGTCTCTCAGTTTCCACAGCAACAGTGGGAGGAGGAAGGAAAGTCTGGAAAAGGAGTCTGAAGAAACCACTCCCACATGCACAATACGCTTTCTACTGTTTATTATATTTGTTTTTTGTATTATATAAGTGCCAGTCTATTATTGTTAATCTTCTGTAGGCGAGAGAATACAACGCGAAAGATTTCAAATCTATTATGTTACCGCTTCCTCAATGAAAGGTCAAAATAACAGAAAAATAATCGAACTATGCTTAAAGATAATTATTTTCATTAGAGTAATCGCTCAAACTCCATATGAACGTTAAATGTATATAATATTAATGTCATATAAACTTTATATAACATTTCATTTTTAAAAGCTTTGCGGTAGGATTGAGTTCATTTTTTTGTTTTGTTTTTTGTGAATAGATACAATTATCTCTTGTAAAGACTAGTTTCATTACTTTGTATGTATTTTAAGATAACTGTAGGTGGTAAAAAAATTGAGCAGAAAGCGTATTTGTTTTAACAACCAACATCCTCAGAGTTAGATATACCCTTTAACCAGTTCCCGGAAACAAACAAGAAGCATTTGATAAGTGTAATACGGTATTAACCATTCCAGAGTTTGTGTAATTAGAACCACCTACCACACGAATAAGTACAAGCATTAAAGAAGATACTTGAATGTATTGCTCATAACTTCACTGGGATGGTAAGTCTAGGTTAGGAAATGTTTAATTGCAACAGTTCAACCCCCACCCCATCCCTGAAAAGCTAAGAAACTCTCCTTAGTATTCACAAAGTTTCAACAGCCAGAAAATCATAAATTAACATGAACTAAAGTAGTGAGTAATAAACAGGCGGAAAATCGTAAATTAATATGACTTAAAATAGTGAGTAATAAACAGCCAGAAAATTGTAAATTAAACATGACTTAAAATAGTGAGTAATTAAACAGCCAGAAAATCGTAAATTAAACATGATTTAAAATAGTGAATAATAAAAAGCCAGAAAATCATAGATTAACATGACTTAAAATAGTGAGTAATAAACAGCCAGAAAAACCTAAATCAATATGGCTTAAAATAGTGAGTAATAAACAGCCAGTAAACCGTAAATTAAACATGACTTAAAATAGTGAGTAATAAACAGCCAGAAAACCATAAATTAAACATGATTTAAAATAGTGAATAATAAAAGCCAGAAAATCATAGATTAACATGACTTAAAATAGTGAGTAATAAAAAGCCAGAAAAACCTAAATCAATATGACTTAAAATACTGAGTAATAAACAGACAGAAAATGTAAATTAACATGACTTAAAATAGTGAGTAATAAACAGCCAGAAAACCGTAAATTAAACATAACTTAAAATAGTGAGTAATAAACTGCCAGAAAATCGTAAATTAAACATGACTTAAAATAGCGAGTAATAGACAGAAAATCGTAAATTAAACACGACTTAGAATAGGGAGTAATAAATAGCCAGAAAATCGTAATTTTGCCAGGACTTTGTGCGATAAAATAAACTTTGTTTGACTTACATTTTTGATATATTTCAAACACAAAGCTAATTTGTATACAAATACATGAATTGGTCCATGTCTCTGCAATATGTACGTCTGGGAAAAGGCCAGTAAAACTTTTCTGTATAAAATTGTTAATACTATAAAGACTAAATTATTGGTATAATTTATTAGATGACTTATTTGATTTATATTTATAAAACTGTTAGTTTTTTCTATGTGCTGACAGAATCAGTGGAAAAGTTATAGTACACAAAATAAGTATAATAATAGTTATAACGTGTGTTTTTTCAATAAAATAAAAAATAACTTTATTAATGTTCTTAAACAAGTACAACATAGCGAGTGTTATAACTATACAAATATACACGTAACATATAATGAATTGTATTAACCTTCTGATTACCTTTTATCTCTTATGTAAAGACCCATATCTGGCACTGAGAATTACAAAACATGGGTTACGTGGTTGCTCTTACTAATATTACAAATCTAACGTTACAAATAAAGTTTTTAACATTAAACGTTTTTAACAATTGCATATAATACAAGTCCGTATAACAAATGAGCATAGACTCGCTGTCATGTTAAACCTTAATATTTTCATGAATATAAAACCACGTGGTTACACATGCGACTCCCCGATGTCTTCAATTGGTTTTTTACCATTTGGTCTTCGGTGACACAAAACTGGACATAATGGTGAGCCATCCAGTATCACCACACAAATACCTGACCGTTATAGACGGCGTAGTTTACCTGTTTCGGATGGCGGTGAATGGCGCGAGGGATGGCGACTGGAGGTACAGTAAAGCCTGTAGACAAGCTACGATCGAGACTGAGTTCACTCTTTTTACTGCCCTTCTTTGGCGTTAAGTCCCCACTTTCCGGCTGAAAATTATGGGATTTGTATTAATGTTTTCATATATACACATGTATCAGTGAGATCAAAATGTAGTAAATACAAGAACATGGTATTTTAAAGGAGATCAAAACGTAGAAAATACTAGTACATGGTATTTGAAAGCAAATCAAAACGTAGAAAATACAAGTACATGGTATTTGAAAGCAAATCAAAACGTAGAAAATACAAGTACATGGTATTTTAAAGCAAATCAAAACGTAGAAAATACAAGTACATGGTATTTTAAAGGATATCAAAATGTAGTAAATATAAAAATATGGTATTTTAAAACAGATCAAAACGTAAAAAATACAAGAACATGGTATTTTAAAGCAAATCAAAACGTAGAAAATACAAGTACATGGTATTTTAAAGGATATCAAAATGTAGTAAATATAAAAATATGGTATTTTAAAGGAGATCGAAACGTAGTAAATATAAGAACTTGGTATTTTAAAGCAGATCAAAACGTAGTAAATGCAAGAACTTGGTATTCTAAAGGAGATCAAAACGTAGTACATACAAGAACATGGTATTTTAAAGGAGATCAAACGTAGTACATACAAGAACATGGTATTTTAAAGGAAATCAATACCTGGCTTTGATCTAGATTTAGCGGTCTACAGGTTTGGTAATTTATTTAAAAACAATTGATCACTGAAGTTTGTGTTTATCGTACACGGTAATCAAAGTTTCGCCCCTCCCCCTTCAATACACACATTTTAGACAAGATAGTTAGTCACTGTGTGAAACACTCCAAAAGCCTTTGGTTTAATGGCTTCATCCTATAATTTTCCAGTCAACAAACAAACGAACTAACTTGGTGAAAGAAAGATTGAACTACATTATTAAGCTGAAAGAGCAAATGTACCTTCCGTAATAACTTTACTACAGTAGAATATTATGTAGAAATAACTAAATTTTTTCACCTTTGTAAAGTGCCTTAACCACTGGATAAATGAATGGAATTAGAATAAATGTCCAACTTTCTATAAAACCTAGAAATAACGGCTCAAAGCCATCTTTTAAAGTCCTCGGAGGTTCAATTTACTAATGTCTATACATATTATAAATATATCAAGCGAGCGGATATAACTTACATCAGCCAAGTTTATCCACATTTACAAAGCGACATGGATATTTAATATGACACATTGGAAAGACTTCAACAGAGTATATGGCGTAAAAAATATGTACCCCAAAGCAATTGTTAATTATGTTTGAAAACTTCCTTTAGTTAGATTTATACTATTTACGTATTATAAACATATAAGTCAGCTGTTCGTAACAGTTGAAAAATGTAAATTATTTAACTGAACTTTAAAACAGCTAGTTTCTAATACCTGATAGGGACCATCAAAAGCATATGGTGGGCGTGGTCCGTGTTCTCCGCTGCTGTCGCTAGAAGAGTCAATTATCATGGCTTTTCTGTCTAACGTCCCATCCACCGGTGTGCTGTTCGTTAGTCCCATAGCTCGCATCATGGCTGTATTTTTTGCTTTTGCTTGTCGTCGTCGGCGCCACCGTCGACAGCACCAAAATGCACAACAGGTGAGTAGAATCAGTATGATAACAGCAATTGGTAGCACAACTGCCAGCACTGTGGGTTAAAATAATGTAATAATAATACCATGGTAAGATAATACTAGAACAAATACAACTGTATTCATACCAATTCTATGTACCACGGTAAGATAATACCACAACAGATACAACTGTATTCATACCAATTCTACATACCATGATAAGATAATACTAGAACAAATACAACTGTATTCATACCAATTCTATGTACCATGGTAAGATAATACTAGAACAGATACAACTGTATTCATACCAATTCTACATATCGTGGTAAGATAATACTAGAACAGATACAACTGTATTCATACCAATTCTATATACCATTATAAGATAATACTAGAACAGATACAACTGTATTCATACCAATTCTACATATCATGGTAAGATAATACTAGAACAGATACAACTGTATTCATACCAGTTCTACATGACATGGTAAGATGATACTAGAACAGATACAACTGTATTCATACCAATTCTACATATCATGGTAAGATGATACTAGAACAAATACAACTGCATTCATACCAATTCTACATACCATGATAAGATAATACTAGAACAAATACAACTGTATTCATACCAATTCTATGTACCATGGTAAGATAATACTAGAACAGATACAACTGTATTCATACCAATTCTATGTACCATGGTAAGATAATACTAGAACAGATACAACTGTATTCATACCAATTCTATGTACCATGGTAAGATAATACTAGAACAGATACAACTGTATTCATACCAATTCTACATACCATTATAAGATAATTCTAGAACAGATACAACTGTATTCATACCAATTCTACATAACTACCTATAAACCATGGTTTTCAGATGTTTCTTTAAAAATTGCTAGATATAACCCATAGTCATAATGTGTAACTAATGTGGATATAGGAAAACATTCTGTTGAAACAGACTGAAAAAAAGATAGCTTTACCATTAGAATGGTAGAAATACCCAAGTCAAAAGTGTATAGTTCCATTTATATCCATTAAAACAAGTTATAATGTGTATATAAATATATATAGCAACGGGGGTTATGTATATAACACATGTTATTAAATCAATTAAAATGTAGGCTTACCGAGTCCATTGATCTCGCATTGTCGGCCTAAATACATATGGTGGCACCTATAACAACAAACAGAACATAGTCTTGATAGATCCAGAGTAATTACCTAACCGTACTAAATCCTTAATAGTCACCAAGAGTTTCAGACACACCTTACACAGAACCTAACGATATAATTAGCAAACTATTGATTTCAGATTTGAAACCACTATATCAGACGTGATCCATGTATTTTATTGATACATCAAAGATTGTAGAAAATAGCTACTGGATTGGTCATTACAAACAATAGTTTGTTGAAAGCTTAAGTTAATATGTTCTCAAGTGATAATTTATAGGAAACAATAGCTACTGGATTGATCAATAGAAATAACAATTTGTTACTTAAGTTAATATGTTCTCAAGTGATAATTTATAGGAAACAATAGCTACTGGATTAGTCATTACAAACAATAGTTTGTTACTTAAATTGATATGTTTTCAAATGATAATTTATAGGAAACGATAGCTACTGGATTGATCAATAGAAACAATAGTTTGTTACATAAGGTAATATGTTCTCAAGTGATGATTTATAGGAAACGATAGCTACTGGATTGATCAATAGAAACAACAGTTTGTTACTTAAATTAATATGTTCTCAAGTGATAATTTATAGGAAACAATAGCTACTCGATTGATCAATAGAAACAATAGTTTGTTACTTAGGTTAATATGTTCTCAAGTGATAATTTATAGGAAACAATAGCTACTGGATTGATCAATAGAAACAACAGTTTGTTACTTAAGGTAATATGTTTTCAAATGATAATTTATAGGAACCAATAGCTACTGGACTGGTCATTAGAAATACCAGTTAGTTACTTAAGTTGATATTTTCTCAAGTGATAATTTATAGGAATCAATGAAAGCTTCACCAGTAAAGTTTCAATTAATTCCTCCATTTTTTTAAAGAGGTTACTTATTGCTAAATTGTTTTGTTTTGGAAGATAACTGAAAAGTCTTAACTTACCTACAGATCCTAAAGCCATCATCTGTGATGATACAGTCGCCACGACCATTACAATATTCACAACTACTTATCTCTCCTACAAGAAGCCAGCCAAAAAGAAGATTGACAAGTAAAAAAAATGCTAGTAACTTTTTAATTATACACAAATTTATAGGGTTTACTTCAAACACTTGTTTCCATACTGATATACATTATTCAAATCTATCTAAACACAAACTAACTTATTTCTATCCCTCTTCTTTTTCATGAAAGGATAATCGTCTAAAAAAGTATATTAGATCGTCAAGCAATTAATGTCGCTTTTTTAAGTGAAAAATCACGAACAACTTATATATCAAAACAAAACATTTATTAAATGAAATAGTCTCCATTCTTA